CGTTGTCTCGTTTCTGAAAGCAGGAAGCTCCAATATTTTCCTTTTCATTTAGTCTAATGAGCTTGCCGCTAGTGGCTGGGAGTTTTGCTAATTTTTGCATGAGTTTTCCTTGACGTAATAAGCATGTATCATTAATGACATCGGAGGATAACGGTTTATAAAAGGGATTTCCTTTGTAAATTCTGTATTGGAAGGGACCTTGTTTATCGATAAAGTTTCCCCAAAAAGTAATAATTTAAATTCCTTTTTAAACTCATCTTAGAAAAATGTGTTTGGGAGTAGAATATCTGAGTATTTCAAGCATTTACTTACTATGTGCACAATCAACTCTTAGAGAAACGTTCAACCTTTACCAATATGCAAAGACTGGTATTTAATTTGTGATAATTCACCAGAATGTTCTTTTTATCCCATTTCTTGCAACAACAATTCCCACGAATTCATATTATTGTCTTGTTATTCAAAACTTTTACCGCAGATAAAAGAACTTTGTGATATGCCACATAACGGATTATTAAAAACAAGCAACTGGATAAATTTGAACTGAATTCCACACCAAAGGCAAAAGGTGACGGAAAATCCAGTAAAATTCTTTTAGTTTGGCATTCATGGAAAGTTTAAAGAGAGAGAGATGGAGATTGCGATTTTTCATATTACTTGATGCGAATTCAAAAATTAAATTTCTGACAGAGATTTGAAGAATTTGCTTACCGACGTCGTCAGCCAAAGTTTAAAAACACTTAACTATTTTCACTAAAATCTTGCAATTTTTATACCTTTGACTTTAGTATGAAAAGCTATAGCAAAGAAATTGTGAAAATTTCTTCCCATGAGATTTGATACCATAGAGCAAGTCATACATATGGTAACCAGAAAATTTTACAATAAAATAAACGACAAACGTAGATGATACTCATACTGTTCATTTTTCCTAATAACTACTTACTACTATAATTAATAATATTGATTTTCAATAGCCTTTGATTCGAACTTAATAGATAAATAAATCAATTTCGAAGGCTAACTTCGAAAAACTGTATTATAATATTTTTTACTTATGCCTCAATCCCTCGGATAATATTTGTTTGGCCGAAGACCAGAAAACGTTGTTTTTAAATCTTTCATCACAGAAAGTGGATTTTCGCACCGAACCATCGAAAGTAGACCATTGGCTTTAAGATGTCATAGTCAAACTCATAATGTTCTATCGATCTTTGTGAGGTTTAAGGCGTTAGGAAACGCCGCACTTACAAGGAAGCTAGAGAGCGTTCAACGAGTGACACTCATCAGATTCCTTGGTGCACTAAGATCCACTCCAACCATTGCACATACAGTGCCCATAGATACAGCCAGAAGGTGAATCAGCATTCCGAAATCTTTGCACGCTTTGGCTTTATACTGAATTGAACTGTGGTGTCTTTTTTTCCGCCCACATACCTGAAAGAGAGTTGTGGTGTTTAATAAAGGAGTATATTGTCAGCAGCTTAAAACTTCGTGACTATTGCAGTATTTTTGCTAGTCCGGAGTGAAGTCACCTTCAGAGACGCCAATAAAAGCTTTGAACTCATTAACTGTGCCTAACTTAGTTTACAATGATAAGACTAGTATTGCTCTCTTTCCCCATTTGCTCCATCACAGGGTAGCTGAGCTTCGCAGGGTGAGGACTGCGCTACCATTGGTTCATACTTTGTCGTAAGATCTTCTTGTCTTATTAAAATTAATATTATAAAGTTAAAGTTAGCCCCTTTCGCCTTGTGTTAGTTCTAACAGCCCACTACCCTGTCGGCGGCTATGCTATAATATTGAAAATCTTACCGGACGGCAGCTGCAGAAGAAGTATCGTGTTAGTAGGGTAGACAATTGTCTCGTCCTTGCAAGATCAAGGTCTATACGCTTGGATGCTTACAGATTTCAATATCCCACTGAGCTGTTAGTAATAGAAATTAAACCTGTGAGCAAATTTGTATGAGCTGACTTACAAGTTGCATTGCTGACTAATATGATCGAATACAGGAGTTCTATTTTTATGGCTTCAAAAAAGACTGCGTATACATAGTACTATGTCTTAAGGGCGGCTCTGGATCAGCCGTAGAACCCAACGGAACCAAACCTAAGTCTTGCCAAATAACTCTCTGCAGCAGTTCGCCAATGAAAATATTGATGTTATACTACCTGTTATATTTATCTGAATGTGGAAATTCTGCTCTTCGAAAAACTCAGGTTCATCGGTGTTATTCAAGGTCCGAACATAGTAATTGGGATATTGCCTTCGAAACATTCACCAACAAACATAATAATATTTGTAAATAGAGACTATTTACATATATTGCAACTGTATACCCACTGAAAATTAATTTCGACAAAAGCAAATTTATTGCGCCAGCTGTTACCATTGTAAACATATGAGTGAGCATGTGAAACGACTTACAGTGCGGCAAGTTCCTGGAAGCTGCGGCGAAAATATTATTACTTAGTGGAAAGGTTTGCCTGTTTACTTTACGTGCTAAAACTAACATATTAACTAAGTTCTTCGAATTTCACCACAAAAAGCTGAAATGGTTTTTTTTTTTTTTTTTTATGAGCAAGTGGATAACGGATCGCAAACTAAATGTTTTTTATAACGCGATGTTCAACTGACGACAAGTTTATTTAATAAGACATTTCTGACAAACGAGGTTAAAATGGGTACCGTCATAGTTTCAAGACAGTCCGGTCTATGTAATTGATATAGACTTGTACTATCCAGCCAAAAGCTGTCAGCTCTGTAAAAATTCATAAATAATTATTACATGGTGGAGAAGGACCTGGCTACACTTGGATTCTTCAATCCAGCTGTTTGGCTGATATAGCCCTTGTTCTATAATAAATTTCTTCGTGAACTCCATAACTACTTTGAAAAGACTATTCGCTAGTGAGCCTGCATTTACTGCAACTATTTAGTGATGGCTTCTGGTGCTTTTGCAGCTTCCTTTCTATCTTTTTAAACTATTGACAACTTGAACGATTCTTTCACCGCACTTGCAACATTATACGGCGGCTATACTCCGCGCATTCATTCCGGAGCGCTGTATCTGTAAGACGGATTGCGCAGTGGATACTGCACGCAACACCGCCAGCAACATGGCAACTTTTAACTGAATGCCAAACTGTTGCGGCAACCGCAGTAGTGGCGAGCCGACGACAGACGACGGATGATGGAGAATATGCAACAGAGGAAGCTGGCCATAAGCAGATGGCAAGGGAAAATGGCAGCAATAATCATTAAGGGAACAAGGGAGTTCAACGTAGTCAAGTGTCATCGTCAGTTACAGCAGCAACTACAATATAACTAGAGAAACACTTTGAACAAGCAATAAATGCAGCCAGCGCTTTGAAGGGGCGCCAAGCGGAGCAGCAACACTAAACAGGTTTGTGTCAATCTAAATAATATAGCAGACAAAGTGGAAACGGCAGCGAAATCGGCGTGACGGAAGCGGAGGCGCGCGTTCCACTGCGCTAGATATCATTTCGCAGCGCTGCGGGTGTGGGTGGCTTAGACAAATGCGAATGGCACATCCATTTTGCCTCGAAAATGCCGGAGCGAGTCGGAATTTGCGCTTTGAGGCCTTCCACACAGGGCGCGACGTAGCAAAGAGCCTGGTGGGTGGCAGTTGGCAGTGCCATTGACAGTTGCGCGCGGCTCGACGGATTGTCCGTTTGCCTGCCTGAAGGCTTAGCGGCCGTGATGGTGGCGGGGCGAGCGAAAGCGCACTACAAATGGGTGAAAGTTTCCACTTTCCAACATTTTTCATTTTTGTTTCAGCTTTCGGCATTTGATTTGTGATTATGTTGTTGCTTTGGAATTCTATTTTATTTTTCCACTCTTTTGTTTTTGTTTGTTGCTTGTTGTTCCTGGACCCGGCAGTAGTTCTGCCAGTTAGTTTGTTGCGGACGAGTTTTATTGTGGATGATGGCGCATTTGGTTTGCGCGCGGCGAGCGACCGGTGACCCACAATGACTGCAGCCGGTCTAAACTTGGTCATTGAAGCGCCGCGACCCACACACACACACACACACACTACTCATAAATCTACTGGAATGCAAGTACCTGCTGGAATGAAATGCATTTTATTTGCCTTCGGACAAGTGGTGAATGATTGGTTGCTCGCAGCACCAAGCTCGGTGGAGCACAAAAAAAAAATTACAAAAATTGCGAAACTAACGCAACAGTCATTTTCAAATTGCGCGCTTGGTTAGCTCAATTGCAACAACAATTTGTTAAGCACATGAAGCAGTGTTCCGACGAAACGGATTGTTGCGCCCGCAATTTAATAAAAAAGAATTATTCGCAATCAACCGCAACGCACTCGAAACACCATAACAACTAAGTTGGCTTAATTAAAATTAATAGAAGGATTGGAATTTGCGAAAGTTCGCTGCTAACTCGTGCAAAGCATGACATAAATTGACGCTTTTTAGACGGCTGTGGAGGGTGTTTGAGCGTTCAAATGAAATTTGCGTGACAATTGAATTGTTTCTGCATTGTTGATGCAAAGGACGACAAGAAAAGGTTTTTTTGTGGCAGTCACATTTAATTCCAGTTATTTGTAGACTTGCTCTTGATATAGCAGCATTCTCAATCAACAAAGGCCTTTTGTTGAAAGAAGGTTAGCAGTGTTTGTTGATATTATTAATAGGTCTACAAGCAATGTTGTTGAACTTAATAGGAGCTGGAGCTATTTGCTTCACATTTAGCTTTACACTCAGCTTACGTCGCATTAGCTTAAAGTCACCACGCCGCCTCAATTTATCATACCTGAGCTTTCAACTGCGCTAACTGTAAAATACTCATATTAGCATATTTGATTAATTTTGCTAAGAACTATTTATAGCGCATGCTAAACAGCACTAACCAGGATATTACAAAATTATTTTTAGTGTTATGAGCATAGTGGTAATAGATATATTACTTGTTTATCGTTTCACTATATTGCGAAGTTGATTTTGATTCCGTTACTCACTTGAAATGATATGTTCCATTTTCGTAGCCGAAAAATGGTACCGTATACGTCAACATCCAAATGTTGCCACCACCGCAGTCATAGTAAGGCTTGGACCAGCGCCCGTCCTCGTATTTTACAGCCAGCGTGTCGTCCTCAACGCGCTCATCGGTTTTGTTGGAGTAAAGATGGAATGCTAAAAAAAAAGTGAAATTTAGGAGAATTTAGTATAAAAGGGAGGTAGACAAAAAGCAAATGTTTTCAGTAGTTTAAAATGCTTTTCTTCGTTTGAAATACTGTGATATAGTAAACGCTGTGTGGAATGGACTGGCCATAAATAGTTTTTCTCTTTTTGTCTTCTACTTATCAAAATTAATATGTGAGTAGTTTTCAACAAGCCCAGTCTACAGTTAAAAAGTATACAAAACATTTTCAATAGGGTATGGGAAGCTGGCCGACAGGGGTGAACCTCAAAAATTGTACGAAAAAAACGTGGCGACTAAGAGAATGTTTCAAGACCGGAGCACACTCTTGTAGAAATCCCAAAGTTGACTGATGCCCCGAGCATACTAAAATTATGGAAGGAGCATTTTCCCGACCTGATGAATGGAAGTGAAAACATAACATCAGTAGAAAGCGAACCCGATTCCATTGCCTGACCATGTAGAAATTCGAACGGCATTTCCCGCCTGAAGAACAACAAAGTGGCGGTGGCCGATGGATTGTCGGCGAGCTATTCAAACACGGAGGCGATAGGAGCATGTATCAGCTTCATCGAAAAATATGGACGGACACAATCATGCCCGACGATTAAAATTTAAGTGTGCTTAGCCAATCCAGAAAAAGGAGACCTCACAACATTGCATATAAGGTTCTATCGAGCGCATTGTGTGTAATAAGCTCAAGAAACTAATTGAACCGTATCAGTGGCTTGAAGCTGGAAAATAAACAATTGATCGGATAAGGATCGAAGAAAATGGGTCTGGTAGAGGTGAATTCTCTTTTGTCATCAAATAAACATTCGTAATATTCGAGACTTTGCTCTCACGCCACTGCTAGCAATAGTAACTTTCAAATCGTAAATAATTTCGTCTATCTAGGCACCAGTATTAACACCAACAACAACGTCAGGGTCGAAACCCAACGCAGAATAACTCTAGCCAACAGGTGCTATTTTGGACTGAGTAGGCAATTGAAAAGTAAAGTAAAAGTATAACACTCGGACTCTGAAAGTATTCGACGTAGTACCCGCCGGGGGAAGCAGAAGAAGAGGAAGACCTTCACTCCGTTAACAAGACCAGGGGGAGCAGGACCTGGCTTCGCTTGGATTCTCCAATTGGCCACCGTGCGAAAAGAACGCTTGACGCGCTGTTATTAACTTGGCTATAACTGCATAAGCGGAGTCTACGCCAGTTAAGAAGAAGAAGAATGGACAGTAATCTCAGTTTACAATTAAAAAGTATTCAAAACATTTTGAATAGGTAATTGGAAATAAAGAAATTTTAGTTTCTAGTTGTGTCGTGTGTGGGTTGTAATAACTTCCATTACTTGAAAATTTTGTTCAATTTCATGGGCAATAAATTAACAAAAGCTGTTCAGAATTCCTCATCATGATTATTTTGCCCAGATGAAACTTCAAAAATACCTTGTGCTATGTGCTACTGAAGTTAAATTCTGCTCCTTTTTATGTGAAGTGTGTTATGGCCCATAAGCGGTACCCTCGAAGATTCTCCCAAGCGCCGATGGGCTTTTACTACGAGGAATGCTTATCTATAAACCAGCTTTGATCTCTTGCTCCGCATTATTCGAGTAATTTAATATTCATTACAAGAATTTTCGTACGCCTTTAAGTTTTCACGAAACGAATAAGATTTCCGGCAATCAACTACATCGATTTGGTATGTGGTAGCGGCAATATCCATCACAAAAGTATGTAAGAGCGAACGCAGCGAAAGGCTGGTAATAAACGAAAATATTTACTTTGTGCCTTCGGCCAAGTCATTGCGTAGAAGAAATATTTTCGTTGCGTCCCCTGTGGTTTATCCATTTGAACGCGCTTTGCACTATTAGTTGCGCATCAGTGCCTCCCCTTCGATAACTGTATGTGTGTATGTTTGTGTACATTAGGGCCACATATATTTATGTTTTACAAACAAAGAGCCAAAGTTCAACTGAAAGTTCAGTCCGATTCGCCAGCAACTTTAGGCAAAACTTTAGCTTGAATTTTGAAATTTTCGGGTTCCCTTCATACCCGCCACTCCATTAGCGAGCTCACGCACAATCTCAGAGACAATCTTGCTTCTCGTGGGAAGCGGACGCACTCTCCGATTTCCCAATGCAGTCCCTTAAGGATAGCAAGCGAGTGTCGATGTTGTCGGCTGTTTGACAAATATATGGAGCTCCTGTCACGGTGAGTTGTTTGCGAGTTTGCTCGGCGCTCTGTGCCACGAAGTTCGCTTTCGCTGCTGCTGTTTTGTGTTGATGACATTTTTTATTACGAGATTTCAAGTTGTTGCTCTTTGATGTCAATAAATGACAACAGCCATTGCCATAACTCAAGCTTAGTGCACACGCGCACGCACACATGTGAGGCGTAACTTTTTGGATCGCAAAAGGGCGCATGTGATTCCACGCATGTCTGCTCGTGTATGTGTGTGTTTAACTGTTATTGGTTTGCGGAGTGGCGTTTGGGGTAAAGGAAACTTATCAACCAAGTTCTCAGCGGTGGCACCCATACTCACGCTCTGTCTTCCATCCTTCTGGCCACCTCGGCTCAGTTCATTTGTTAGACTGCTGACGGAGAAACTTTTATCACTTTCTGCACACTTCGATTTCGCAACAACGAATATTGATGACTCGCACTGGGCGACTTTTGAGGTAGCGCTTTGTATAAATATTTGTGACTACTCATTTAAAAGGATGTGTACGAACTTTAGGCGGAGATGAAATTTATTTGGATATGTATTAACATTAGCCAACTGGTGTTTAACTGCTGAAACCGTTCTTGATAGTAAAAGTTATAGAATACGCTGAGCTTTTTTAGAGCTTTTCAATATGAAGCTTTTTTTTACAACTATTAACCATTTAACAACGTTTTCTTTGTCGTCAGGAAATCCAAAAGGGTCTTGGAAGTCTAATTTCAGTTTGTTATTATTTGACAAAACTTATTTTGCTTCCGGCGTTTGCAGCAACTTTGTCCCCCTTTCCCTTCCCTTCCATGTCATTTTCCGACTTTACTCATATCTGTTCGCTGAATATTAATCCTAACTGAAGTCTCAGTGCGAACTTTAGCAAGACATTAAATATGTAGCACATTTGCCTGTATGTTTGCGGCTTTGTGGGCAGCACAGCGAAATTTTACGACTCAACGGTATCACTTGTCACGTGATTTTTTTCTTTCACTATCGCAAATTGCACAGAGTGCACCTCTAACAGGTTTGTTGCTGAAGTCGATCATTTTAATTAATTAAGTAAATATTGAATTAATTTAAGAGCATATTCAACGAGCTGTCTTAATACAGTTATTTAGTTGTCTATGAAATTCATTTTCCATTGTGATTTTCAGGTAAGGCACTTTTATTTCACATTTTGAAGGCAGCGATGAGTCTTATGAAGGATATTGTAACATAATTAATGCTTAGTACAATGGGAAGCGATCAGTGCAAGGTGGGTTCCAGAGGTACCAAAAAAGATATTTTACGATTTCTTTTTATATACTTCAGTAATGTCTCCTGAAATTTGTATATAAAACTGTTAAAAATTCATCCGTTGAGACCTCATCTATTTTTTCTCGGCGCGGACAGCATAACTTATTATTGCGTCATACAAAATCACAACACATATATTAATCTCGTGTTTGAATGAAGAAAAACAAACAAAAAAAACAAAAAACAAAACAAAAAAAAAAAATTTCATATTTTCTCAAACTTTGACAAAAGATCACATTTTTTGGTTAAGTTTCGACATTTATTGGCAATGAAAACAAATTATTCATTCAATATCTAAATAATGGAATTTTAAAAATTTGTACATAATTCGAAATACATCGGTCCATTACTTTTCGAGAAATTGTGTCCACCGACTTCAAAAATAGAGTTTTACGAAAAACGCATTTAAAGTTTGTGCGCTACACCGATGAGGCCTCATGGGGGAAACATCCGAAGGGTCTATTTTTAAGAATTTTATTCGGAACGATTTAAAATTTTGAAAGAATATATCAAATATGTTGTAGTAATTAATAAGATAAAAAACAAAAAATCGATTTTTTGAAATTTTCAAACCCACCCAAACCTTACAGTCTTGACAGACGACTGCGTTAAGCCGGATTAACTGCATTAATCCGGTTTAATTCAGGAATTAGTGAAAACAATTCCGTCGCTAACTCCCATTTAATTATCAAAATTTTAAAGAGTTAGCTGCATTTTGGTTGGCAACATTGTTAAAAATGCCCAATTTTAATCTATTGTGAATGAAAAACAAGCAACACTGATAGCTGTTTTTCAAATTTTTAATAATAACAAACAAGAAGTTTCATACTTTTGTAATAAAAAATGTTTTTGCAAAAATTGGTCGGCTAACAACCGCAATGTTTATCTTCTATCCATTTTCATTGAAAATATTATAAAAATGACAAACAGCTGTATAAGAGAGCTTCAAACTCGCATAGCTGCCGTTTGTCACCTACAAATTTGGATCTGATTAAGTGCGCATTTAATTCGCATTAACGGATAACAGACGGCAGTGTCAAGGCCTTTAAGGGATTATATCATATTGCAAGTCACAAAAGGGGAGTTGGTCGATATCCAGGAACACCTCCGCAAAAGAGTTGTCTGGCAGTGAGGAAGCACAAAATTATATTAAATCCAAAACCAATAATAATATATAATATTTATACAACAGATGAATACAAGTAATAATCGATGGGCTATTTTCAATTTTAATTTTTATAAAATGGAGGCTTTCAGAGTAACTTAAAAGGACGAATGTCCAAATATAGTTTTTTTCATCAAAGCCTGATAAATATATCTAAGAATATTGTGTGTCCAGTCGTTTTGGAGAAATTTTGCTCACCGACTCTGGAAACAGCGTTTTGAGAAAAATAAATTAAGAGTTTTAAGAACTAATAACACTGAGTTAAAAAGTTCCTAAAAATACCCTCGTATCTCCGAAACTATTTTCCGGATCAACATCAAATGT